GAACCCCAAGGATGTAGTAGGAATAGAACAGGTATAGGATGCTGGCAGGTACATTCCTTTCATATACCTTCGACATTCTTAGGGTTCCCTGTTTTGCAGGTTCTCATTCAAGTCCCTTTACTGAGCCCTTTTCGGGTACACAGAGATTACAAGGTGATTCTACGGGCCCTCCTCAGGATTCTATGGGATCTCACAGTATGGCCAGCTCCATATGAGCTATAGTCTAAATTCCTAGTATCCCCCTTACTAAACCCTATAGTATTCCCCTATATAATCCCCTATATAACCCCCCTTTAAGGAGTTTAGACTATAGCTCATATGAATATTGAATATCTAAACAGATCGGGCCTCCTGAGATGCACCCAAGTACACAAGCTCTAGCATCCTCATTGTTGGGACTGCGAGAAACATTTTAGAAACCCTGAATCTAGGGCGTCGAGAGCTTTAGGGTTGATAGGGTTTTCAGGGTTAAGGGTTTGGGGCTCAGATTTTCTGTCGTTCTTGCCTGTCAAGTGGCAGTATGGAAACATTCTAAAACGCAATCTTGCTTCGTTACCTCTTGCTCGCATTATAGTTTGCGCATGTAGACTTTTTGGTGTGAGCTTCAGTGGTGTTGAAATACGATGGGGTGCGATTCTGATCATACAGTTTTGCTTCTCAAGCACAGCACAAAACATCAGTTGAATACTGCGTACAATGTTCAATGGCAACACACTTGAATGCCTATAGTGATGCGAATTAACCATGTGACCGCCGCTAGAAAGTACGAATCAGCCGTGCAGAAAAATGAGCGGCAGTCCTAAACGTTGAAGTTGCAATATCTTCATTGCAACAAGACAAGCCTTCAAACAATGAATCAGACACCAGGTCTCAAACCGTGAGCAGTTTTGAGAGACTAGCATCTGCACATCTGCAGGCACATACAAGGAGTAGGGGGATACCTTAGAACTAACATAGAAGATTCTGCTTCGAGTTCCCTACTAAGTACCAAGTAGCTGCCTGACAGCAAACTACCCGGAGAGATCAATCTACTTGGAATTCCCAGAAATAAAGTCCCTCTAATTACACCCCCAAAAATGCCTACAAAAAAATGAAGACTCCCCCTCCGGGATCGCCTCGCATGCGAACCCTGCAGCACCCAAACATTAGAGCCAATGATCCCTACAAAGCCCAGTAGCCCACCACCAACCCCTGAAAGGTAAACTCTTCATTCATGGTCTCCCCAGGTGGACACCATGATTCTAATCTTCCTCAGCAACCCTATCTATTTACGCGCGCCGCAAATGGAAACTTAAACTCCACTCCATATCCTAAGGCTTCCAAAATGCCTTATATCCCAAATCCTCCGGCAGCCTCAGCGTAACAGGAGCGACGCAAGGCCCCGGACAACGTGTTTGCTTCTGAAACTGGTGTTCTTATGGGAGTGGAAGAGTCAAAAAGCATACTGGGGAATGGAAAAAGAAAGTGGAAACTATTACAGGGTGCATGGTACCTAAGGTGGGTAGGACTATCAGAGGGATACACCGAGTAGAATCTTGAAAGCCAGAGGCTCTGAGTTTGTGTGGGACTGTGCGTGTGCTTGATGTGACTTTTGTAGGTCAGAAATGCAAAGATCACACAACTGCTGTGTTTCAAACAGTTCTGCTGGAGCCACATGTTCTTCAATCTCGGAAACCGTTGCCACACCTACCCATGTGTACATGCAGAAGCTGAATGAGAGAGTCATTTCAAGTTGCTAGGATGCTGAATCGTTTCCAAACTGCAGGTCACACAAATTGGATACGCTCCCAAATCTCAATGCCTCAAATTCCCTACGGTCTATGGCCATTAGTGTCCGCCCGTTACCACAGGTGCAGCATAGGCTATTCTTGGTTGCTGTTAAGGGAACTTGATTCAAATTACGTACTATACTAGGGAAACTCTATTATCTACTAAATATAGCCAACATGGTAACTCATTTTAAGTTCCCTAACAGCAACCCAGTATTCATGGTTCCTTGTGCTCCTTGCGATGAGGAGCGTGCATCGCCAGGCCGCAAAGCTTCAGCGGATATTTGTACCCAAATGATGGAGAATCACATGAACAAAACATTTAAACCCTGGGTCTGTTTGAATGGGCATATAGGGATTACATAGAGTTCAGAGAAATTAGCCCCAAGAATCGAGGATAACATGGAAAAGAATGCGGAAAACTACATGGACACTGGGCATACAAATATGTGTATACGCGTATGTGCATACATAACCTTTCTCAAAAGCTGTCTGCTGAACATTCTGGCTTACATATGGAAGCTTAAAACTAGGGCTCCTTTCCTATCCCTAGACCCTAGATCCTAAACCCTAAACCCTAATAGTACTACCGCTGTCAGGTGCCCACTAGACTTTTGGGAAGCTCGGGTGTACATGCTCAGCAACGAAACCACGGTCCCCCAAACTACCTGCCTGATCATAGCCAATCACACTTTTGCCATGCTAAGCTATGAAGTAGTCGTGATAGTGATCTAAATCTAAACCCGAAACCCTAAACCCCAAGCCCTGAAACCCAAAAGACTGAAAGCCAGGGATCCCTAGAAAGTCCCGATATCGGAGGTCGCCATAACTAATCTTCTCAAAGCGGGGCAACCTGACATCGGGACACTTATGGCCGTGTTGCAGAAGTCACTCAAATGTAAAACCCCACGGACCCCTGGGATCCCTAAAGCGCCATTGGTCATACTCAGACTACCCTAACCTAATCGAAACCCTAATCCCCTAAACCCCTAAACCCGAAATCCATAATCCTGCAGGCTTAGATGCACCTTTTTTTCTGGGAGGTTTTGGCTCTGGCTCATCTGGCGCTGGGGGGCGGCTCAGTCCAGCAGAGCCTGAAGTCATCAAGCAAGCTACTGGGTTTAGGCCCACTGGTAGTTCTCATTGTCTGAGGAAGCCCAATATCCCTTGATTTGGGAATAAACCTTAAATCCGGTTTTTGCACCCTGGTATCGTTTGAGGTATAGGTTGTTACTGATCTCAAGGCCCCAACATCTTCTACAGGGTTCAAGAAAAGCCACACATTTCCCAAGATCAAGGGTCCCGTGCCAATATAGACAAACAGGAATCTGCACGATGGCGTAAAGGCGCCACGATCTTGAGAAACCCGTCCCAAACCGCTAGAACTGTCAAACGCAGATTCATGTTCTTTTCCGCAGATCACTGTCCTACATAGCTTCCAAACACTATTACTACCTACCCAAATCATGAAATCCCAAAGCCCAAAATCCGAGCCACAAAGCCTCTGAATAAGTCCCCGCAACATAAAGCTTCCATAATGAGAACCTTCTGTAGCGCCATCATGTCTTGGGTGAATTTCGGGTGACTCCCACTTTTGGAAATATCCAAATGGCCCCACACTGGGCCATAGACTAGAAAAAACCCCAGCCCTAACCCCTCAGATCCTATGCCAAAGGAACTTAGGGTAGGTAAAATGTGGATGACCTGCTGTTAGAAAGAGGCTTACAAAGGTTACAAATATACTTTCTGAGGGTCCTGGGCTTGACCCCAAGCCCTAGTCCTAAATCCTAGACCCTAAACCCCTAAAACCCTAAACCCCCAAAACCCTAACTAAATCCCTAGAACCCCAAAACCCTAAACCCTAAATCCCTAAAACCCTAATCTCAGGGCATTGTCATCCTGAGGCTTCCCCCACTGAGGTTTCATGGTTTAGGGTGTAAGGTTTATTTTCTGTTGTTTAGGGTTTAGTTTTTTTTGGTTTAGGGTTTAGGCTTCCATAGCCTTGGACCAGATCCCGAGGATTTCGGACGATGAGATGATGGGCTCTGCTGAAGCTGGGTCTGAAGGTCCTGGTCTAGGGATTTGGGATTTGGGGCTTAGGGATTAGGGTTTAGGGATCAAGGATTAGGGATTAGGGATTCGGGTTTAGGGATTAGGGTTCAGGGGCTTTTTGGGAGTAGGGTTTGGGGTTTTGGGATAGGGTTTAGGGTTTGGGGGCCTTATGGGGGTTCCTAAAATTAAGGGGTGCTCAATGCTTGAATGCAAATCTGGGGAACTAGGGGTTTGGGAAGGTTAGTAGTTTAGGCTTTAGAGATGGGTTGCACAGATTGAGGGTGGAAGGTTTCCGAAAACATCTTCCCCTGAGCTAAAGATCTGGTGGGATCTCAAAATTAGGCATGACAGGCTTTTTGGGGGTCCCTCCATTCATGCAAACTATCATCTAGGATTTTGCTGGGCGAGAAAACTGGCAAGTCCCTGGCTTGCTAAGGCTTCATGTACTTCAGTATCCCTGTAAAATCCTTCGCTAGTCTGTCATGGTCTCCATTTTGCTCTCCCTGCTCCCTCATGGAATTCCTTCTGTCGGCTTCTTGGGCCTAGGATCCAATTCCCTACTTGGAAGTTCAAGGCTTCGCGTCTAGGGTGGATCCAAACTCCTACGACCCAAACGCTGGGCCCTAAGCCCCTCATTTAAAAGGTATACATCACAAGGTCTGTCCCTCATCCTGAAACACCAGACCAAGAAGCCCAAACCTCTTGTTCGGAACTGAAACTGGACCTGCACAAACAGTGCCAGAGCATGACAGCCCCAAGCAGCTCAGCAAAAAAAACCTGGACCTTGAACAATACCTTAAGCAGTAGCCCCGGTATAACCGACAATAATATACGGTTGTTGTTATTTGCTCTGCCCTCCCTTCCTTCCTTACGAACCAGTAGCAACCTCGAACCCAAAACCCCAAAGCCTAAACTTCAAACCATTTGAGAGCCAGTGGGACTTGGCTCCTGAATGGCTGCAGGTGCATGAGGCACCACGATGGATCCATGGCTCCCTGCGAACTCCTTTAAGGTGTCCAGGTACCTTCAGATTTAGGATTTAGGGTGTAGGATTTAGGGTTTAGGGTTTAGGGTTTAAGGACCTGCAAAGTACCGAACCTCCCACATGCCCGTAAATACTGGTCTGTATACCCATGTACGGTCAGAGGCTGCTATTGTAATTACTCTTACTACTGTCAGTGTTGCTCTTGACATGGTTCCTCAGTACTAAGGATGTGCTTGTGGACCATCTTTGGGATACTTCAGGGTTTAGGACATAGGGGGATAAGTATTTAGGGTTCAAGTTGACCTGCTACCTGGCTGGTCTTTTCTCCAAAGTGCGGCTTATGTCTGGGGGGATGCCCATAATTTCTCAGCACCTATTGAGGAATGCGGAAATGCGTTGCAGGGACTGTTTTTACTGGCCTTCTGCAGGGACTACGATGAAATGTGGGTGTAGCGCGTGCTTGGCGCTGCTGGGTTCCAGCTTCATGTAAGGTATCTCTAACTCTGCTAGCTTTCTCTTCAGTTTATGTAGGGGTTTTCCTGCGGGCAAGATGCTGGGTCATGATCATCATGTGCATGGCCTCTTGCTCGTTCATACCACTGTCCTTTATGCGGTCTCACGGCTTCCGGGTCAAAGGTTCACAGCACAGGATTAGTTGGGCCTTGGCAGGGGGCTAATGGCTTGCATGAAGCAACACAGAAAAACTCTGAAGATTCGAAGGTCCTTCATAAACTTCATGGAGTCTTGGAATCCCTGTGCCATGGCGGCGCGCATGTTGGCCATGCCAACACCTGCCAGGCGCTTGGCCTCCGCATCCGCTTCCGAGGCCTCGCATGCTGTAGGACTGTAGGAACATTGCAGCTTCCAAGCTTAGGGGGCCAATCTTGGAAGGCAAAATGATTAAGAAAAGAAGACACAGTCGCCAGCCTTGATCTTCAGAAGCTTCTCAGCCTCGCCTTTCTCGAACGCTGCTTCGCGCTGCCGGCGCGAGGCGTTGATTTCGTTCATGGCGTTGAGGACGGACTGCTCAGGCTGGATGTCGGTGATGAGCACATTGATCATCTCGTAGCCGTACTGCGCCATGGCCGCCTTCACAGCCTCCAAGATCTCTGCGACCATTTTCTCTTTGGCCTCATAGCTCTCATCAAGGGTCATGGTCGGGAGCGTAGATCTCAACACGTTGTCCACCTCGGCCCGGATCTGCGCGTGCGGGCTCGCAATGTCGAACACAGCTACCTTCACCATGTCTTTCACAATGCGGTACTGCACGGCCGTCACCACACAAACTGTCACATTGTCCTTGGTCTTGCAGTCGGATCGGCAGGTGAGCTGCTCCACGGCCAGCGAGACGGACATCACAGTCGTGCATGGGAAACAAATGCAACTGCAGCCTGGCTCCTGCAAGCCTTGGTATTCCCCGAACTTCTGCACCACGCCAATGGACCCTGTCGAGATGCACGAGAAGCAGCAGCAAGACATGGC